GCTGTCCTACTATAGTGAACACTTACAGGTCAACTTAACTAGGCATGTTTGGGCAATATACATAGTGACAAGATAAGATTTTTAAAGTTCTGAGAAGATGATGTTATGATCTTGATATAATATCTCGCATCAACAGGCTTTTAAGCATATGTGTACAATTAATGACATACAGGCAATTATATATCACTTATATACATACACGTGTTGATGATTGCAACAAAACTTTGACAGATATGACCACATAGAAGAGGAAAAAAAAAAATCTAAGGAATCTGTTTTATGTAGCACAGCATAGAAAACAGGGTGCCACCCAGAGGAAAGCAGCAGGGTAGAACACTGGTGGTGTTTTAGTGCTAGAGTAGAAGCATCTAATTAATCACAAGTTACTGCAAGTCGTAAAACACTGTTACTGTTGCCTCCTGAAGTACTTCATTATTTGTTGAATACTTTTTTGTAGGTACTGTCCTTCACATTCTTAGTGATTAATAAGAAAACAGGTGTGTAGGGCAGGCTAAAGCCTCCTGTGATCTTTCCACAGATGTGCTGAATTCAAAAATGTTGATAAATAAGTTTTAATTCTAATATTAATAAAAAAAATCCTTAGTAAAAAAGTTTTAAATTCTAGTTATAAACTAATGAATTAGGCTAGGATAAGTTAGGTATTTTGACCATCTGGCTTCATGTAATATTTTTTCTCGGAAAACTGTTTCAGTTATCCTCGAAGGACACTGGTTTGGATGCTATATATCAATAGGACACACATTTGTCCATGGACCAACATATTTATTTAACATGGTTTCTGAAGGGCCTAAATGCATCAGAGAAAGAGGATATCAGTGTGTTTGTATTTTTATACTGTTTTGGAGGAAGCGGGGAGGTATTGCCAAGAATTGAGCATTCTTTGTTACTCTGCCTCAAGAACTCTTTTCAGATTTGTCAAAGGCTTTTGTGGGGAATTTACCTATCCATTTTATATATAACAGCCATGAATGGAAATTTGAGTTAATGAATTCTCTGCATACCTTTGAACACCCCAACATTTCTGCTTTCAAAAATGCCAGGTTTAACCATATATATTCATCATCCTTCTGCCAAACTGCAAGTTCAGTGCGGGCCCTGCTCTAATAAGGGTCTGGCAAACTCCACAGGGTGAGGCACGGGCCCAGGGCACATTTCTAATGAATACAGATGTGACACCTGCTAGAACAGTGCAGGTTTGACAATCACGGACAAGTTTTGAGTGACTGCCATTTAAAAGTTAAAAAATATGCAGAGTTTTCACACAGTGTAATCAAGCGCCATCTTTTCTGCCGTGATTTCTTACTATTAGTGTGTTTTATCAATAGTTGAAAACACAGGTGTGCATGTGTAACTGATGGAAGGTTAGAGCTGGAGTGAAATTCTGAATGCTCTCAACCTCTGCAAGGCATCAATGGAAATTCTGGTTTGTCAGCTTGGTAGCTGCTTCTGTGCTGTGTTTTCCTGTCAAGGGAGATGCATTTGCATTGACATGCTGAGGTGAGGAAGCTACAGCAGTGGGATAGTTTGTCCGGGAGGTCGGATTTCTTTCTTGGACTTTTAAGTTTTATTATACCTGAATGACCATTCATCTTAAGTTGCTGTTGCTATGTAATGCTGATTTTTCTCAACGTGCAGCAGAGGGAGTGATGAGAGAGAAGGGTGGATGTGAATAAGGGAAGGACTTCTCCGGTGTCAATATTTAGAATTATTTGAGCCCATTTTGTAAAGACTATTTGGACTGTTCAGGATAAATAGACTGTAATTGTTCAAAATGCTTTAAAAAAATCCAGTTTGTTTTTTTTCCCTGATATACCCATAGGCATAATAAATCTTCTCTTTGAAGCCTCGTAGAGTCTGTTGCAAACAAAAGATTATTCCCAGTACATATTATTCACAAAACTTGGCTTAGAAGGTAATATTTTGAATTCATCTAAATAAAAACTGCCCTTTGGAGTTACTCCTGGACTAATTAAAAATTTGGGGTTTTGGCTGAATTTAAGTTAGTTAAATAGTTGAATTTCGTTATTCATAATTTCTTAATCTGTTTTTTTGTTTGTTTATTATCTGAATAAATTTTAAAAGAACCGCCAAAAAAGGTAATTTTAAGTTTTTATTTAAACAATGAATCTGGTTTCCTCATATTTCATTGTGGTCATATTTCAAATACAAATTGATAAGTGTATGTATTTTCTTGTGTTTTAAGCTTTTGTAAGATTTCATAAGATTAAGGACATTAAGGAGAATGGACATTTCAGATACTTTCTACAGCATGATCTACCACATATTTGAGCATAGTAGGATTTTTATTTCATTCTGTTTTACCTGTTTAATCAGGTAAAATGGTATCTGTATCTTTATAAAGTGCAACAATAGATGTTATATAAAGTACCTTCAAATGAGTGCGGTAAGTAAATACTTACTTTCCACCTCAAACCTGATAGGCAGCATTTTACACCATTAGAGTTTAAATTAAATTTGAATTGCAGGTCTTGAGCTCGTGCTGAGTATCTAAATACTTAGTTTCATTCTTCTCTCCACCTTCATTGATTTTAATTTGTTGTTAAAGTAATTAATTTATTTTTTTTAAAAAAAGCTATTTCCCTGTGTCCTTTTTCACTTCCTGTTCATTTGAAAAGGTAAAGTAATATTTTTATTTTTATTGTGTGAGCAGATAAAAAGCATATAAAACCAAATATTAGTAGAGAAAGTATAAAAAAATTCTTACAAGTATGCCAGTATAAAGCAGTAGTCTTTTTTGTCTTTTTCTTTTTTTTTGATTTTAGTGTGATCGCTGTTTGCCATTATATAACGACAAGCCTTTCCGTCCAGGTGACCAAGTTCATGCCTATAATTGCAAACCCTGTCAGTGTTACAGCCATGCTCTAAGCTGCCACTACGACTTAGCGGTGGATCCTTTTCCTCAGGAATACTACAGAGGTGGTGGGGGAATATGTGATAACTGTCAGCACAACACAACAGGTAAGTCACAAAAGAGAATGTGGTGTTCATTCTGCAGTCACATTTTCTGGTAACACTTCAATCAGCTGAAATCTATCAGCTAATGTTCAAGGACTGACATCTCAAAATATTATTCTTTATATGTATTTTTAAAGAATCCAGGCAGTGCACTGGGAACAATCGTGTCATTATTTAACCTGCAGGAAAATACTGTTTAAAATTTGGTCTTACCCCGTATATTATCTTCCATGTGGAAGAAATCTTAATAGCCAATTGAGATAGACAGCATCTCAGTAGGCGGTAGTGTTTAGTTTTAAAGCTGTTTCCATTATATGTGCTAGATACTTTTAATCTAGAATATCAAGTCATTCTAATCAATCCAGTTTAACAGATAACACAAAATATTGTTGATTTTTTTTTCCTGTAATAGCAAATTCTTGCTTATTGAGTTTGTATGCTATGGAAGTAGTGGATTTCAATACTTCCATAGCTTTTGATTCTATTTTAGTTTCTTGGCTTTGTCTAGCTAAGGGCAAAAAGGAAAGTTTCAGGTTCAACAGTAATTCTTCCAAAAAATGTATAGGCATTCACATGGCACATCTTTTATAAAAGTGTGGTATTATATAACAGATGGAAGTTTAATGGAGTAAAACATAGTTTGTAACAGGTTCATTGTTTCATATGCTCTGGATCACTAAATTGGCAGGTAGAGATGAAAGGTGCATTAAAATGGACGTCCTGAAAATTATAGAATTCTCTCAAAGGAATAGAGTCTTTAATTTTGAATTATACAGCTAATTTTAATGAATTAGAAGCCATAATGCATAACCTTTCCTTCATGCAGGAAGAAACTGTGAGCTGTGCAAAGATTTCCATTACAGACAAGCAGGTGCAGATCTTTCAGCCATTGATGTTTGCAAACCCTGTGACTGTTACGCAACAGGCACAGAAAATAAGAGCCTCCTGTGTGATAATGTAAGTAGCCTCAAAACAAGAGAATAGCAAAGTATTTTAATTAGCTTTGCTTGTAGCAGCAAAATTATGCCAAATGTATTCTAATACCTCCTAAAAATTGTTCAAGTTCAGCTTTTTCAAAATGGTTATCGACATTTTTGGACTGAAAAACGGCAAACCCCCAAACCCAATTTGACACATGCTGTTGCAGAGTTCATCTGGATCAGAAAGAGAAAGAAAAGATGTCATATGGATTTTCAGAAGTGAATTAGTGATTTGGTGAGACTGATAAGTACAGATGTCCTTAGTAATTTTAAAACATTCAATTTTTGAAGATTTTGAACATTTAGACAGTAAGATGAGCCTGAAATTGAACTAAAATTAAGCTGGTTCTCCTCGTAATTCAGACAGAGATCAATATCCCATGTAACTCATGAAGTCATTTTAAACAAACAAAAAGTTAAGATAGCTGAAAAGAGGAAAAACATCAGATTTGCCAGATTTTGCCTGACAAGCAAGACATACAGTCTACTCATAATTCCAACTGTAGCTTTCAAAACTCCTACTGAGAGTCTGTTAGCATAGAGTTCGGTAACAATGTAGGAATCATAAATCATTGTACTGAATCTAGATATATTTTATGAAATTCTGTGTTAGTAGATTTGTTTTCATACCTGCCTATGGACAATAGCAGGAAAACTCAAGTGACTGAGATCTTGAAAGTACATTACAGATGCATTGCAACTCATTTTCTAATCACATATATACAATTCTTGTTGAAACTCCAAGTGTTGTTAGGAGTTGGGAAGAAAGTACCTTTTTGTCTGAAATGTTTTTTAAAAAATATTTTAAAGGATTTGAGTCAGACCATTTCTTAAGCTTGCTCCTGCATTCCCCATTTCATCTTTTCTCTTTTTTTCATGGGATAATTCAACTCCAGTGTTTGTTCCATGGTGTATCTTGTTGTTGATTGCGTTTTATTTAACAGCAAGCTTGTGTAGACCTGTTTTGTTATTTTCCTCCTCGGTACTCCATTGGTGCAAATAGATGCGTAGTTTGGCTCAAGGCATTTTCACCCATGGGAATGGGTGCATGTGCTGAGTGATATCCAGCTTTAGCACACTATGTTTTTATAAGTAGTCTCCAGTGGCCACAAATAAAACAAATTTATAGTTCTCTCTCTTCTGAAGATGATACTTTTTGGCAATATCACAGAAATGAAAAATCCTTGA